TTTTGCCGCGGCCGGGGGTCGAACCCGGGGAATTCCGACCATCTCGCCGAAAACCATCTCGCCGAAAACCATTTCGCCGAAAACCATTTCGCCGAAAACCATCTCGCCGAAAACCATCTCGCCGAAAACCATCTCGCCGAAAATCTAATTTTGTATGGTAATGTTGCTGGGGTTACTGAAATTTCAGGCATTATGAAAGATAAATGAGAGATTGTCTCGTCGTCGTCCCTTGATCCCGATGATCGTCTGGTTCGAGAAAGGATATATCGGTAGAGTATCCGTACTGGGCTTTCAGCGGGGGGCGGGGGGGCAGCGGGGGGAACCAAATTTTATCAAGTTAGCCGGTACATTCACCAGTCTAAGATCACACTCCGATGGAATTCACCGATTTGATCGCCAAGTCTTTCGATTAGGCAATGATTTGATTCCGCTTGCTAATTAATCGCCGTTGCCCAAACCCTGTGATAATGCGTTTTATCTGAATCAAATCAATCAGTTTTCTCGGCGTGACCAACCACAGTTGTGAAAATGTGAAGCCCGATATTTCGCCCATTTAGCTTGCCGGGAACTAGGACCTGGAAAGGCAAAAGATTTGCATACAAAATTAGATTTTCGGCGAGATGGTTTTCGGCGAAATGGTTTTCGGCGAGATGGTTTTCGGCGAGATGGTTTTCGGCGAGATGGTTTTCGGCGAAATGGTTTTCGGCGAGATGGTTTTCGGCGAGATGGTTTTCGGCGAGATGGTTTTCGGCGAAATGGTTTTCGGCGAGATGGTTTTCGGCGAGATGGTTTTCGGCGAAATGGTTTTCGGCGAGATGGTTTTCGGCGAGATGGTTTTCGGCGAGATGGTTTTCGGCGAAATGGTTTTCGGCGAGATGGTTTTCGGCGAGATGGTTTTCGGCGAGATGGTTTTCGGCGAAATGGTTTTCGGCGAGATGGTTTTCGGCGAGATGGTTTTCGGCGAGATGGTTTTCGGCGAGATGGTTTTCGGCGAGATGGTTTTCGGCGAAATGGTCTGATACCGAACCCGGGTCTGCCGTTCGTGAGGCGCGGACGCATAGCAGTCGGCCAGAGGTGCAACCTGGCGAGGGGTGGGGGAGAACCCCGGAAAGGAGAGGAATCGCCTTCCACGGCAAGGGCAAGCGGGGCGCGCGGTCCCTACGTCCATAGGGTGTGCACGTTGGGACGAGTACACGGGCGGGTTCAAAGAATTTGCTAATCCACGCGTTTTCGCCTCTAAACAGGGGCTAAAAGACATAGGACGCGGTCGCTGTGCGGCCCTGCCTGGCTATTTGCCAGGAATGAGGGCGGAGGCTGGACCAGATTTCATGGCTCCTTTAATTTGAATGATTCCTAGAATCTTCGCCCACGAGCCGCCGTCGATGCCATGCACATCTTCCGTCGATTTCACGTTGCTATACCGGCGCTCTTTGGACCATTCGGGCTGTGGATCCGACGCGGAATATAGTGAGCCGACAGAGAGCGAGAGAGAGAGAGAGAGAGGGAGAGAGAGAGGAGCAAGAGAGAGAGAGAGAGAGAGAGAGAGAGAGAGAGAGAGAGATGGTGTTGTCATTTCAGCTACTTCCGACGCAGCCACTGGGTTGCTCCAGGGATACGCCCATACCAGGTTCGGAGAGATTCCTAGCCTCACAAGGAATGTATCTGAGGGTACGGGCTCAGGTCCGTCTCAAAATTGGTTGAAAAATCAAATGAAATACGGTGAACACGATGCCGACAGGCATCGTGTTGACCGTATTTCATTTGTCGGTCGTGTGTCGGTGACATTGAGGAGTCAGACACTTGCCGTGTCAGTACCTCCCCCCCCCTGCCCGCCCCAACAGACACCGGCCACCAGTTTTGACCACGAATGTCTCAAGGCCCGTTTTAACGCCAAATCCCTCCACTTCAACGCCATAAACCCACCTTTGTTTTTCAGCTTTGCCTTTGGCCGGCCGGCGCCTCATATTCTCCAGCCGATTACTTGGACATCTATATGCACGCCCTTCCAAAGGTATCCCCCCACCACGGGCTCCCACCATTAAATATCGCCCGCCACGTCGATTGTTTCAGTTGAGGACCGTGCCGCGTCTGCGCCTCAATCAAATGTATCACGAAAAATCGGACTGCCTCGGATCGCTGACAGTGATCGAGCAACTCATTCGAGAGATTGTTAAGGTATTGCCACATACAGGGTGTCCCCCCCCCCTTCGACACTTGACCGTCTTCCATCCAATCGGGACCAAACTTTTACCACTGATGGGACCCCATAAAAACCATGTGCTGCCAAATTTTCGAAGCAAAATATTGCAAATCTAAAAAGTTATCGTTAAAGCGTTTCACAAAAAAAAATTCGGTTTTTGAACGATAACTTTTTAGTTTTACAATATTTCGCTGCGAAAATTTGGCAACACATGGTTTTTATGGGGTCCCTTCAGTGGTAAAAATTTGGTTTCGATCGGATGGAAGACGGTCAAAGGCGGGGGGCGGCAGCATATGCTCATGCTTTCTATTTTTTTAGAAAACGCAATCCAGCGCGCCGCGACAAGTTATCGAATTTCGCACTCTGCGCTACCTGGACGAGGTGTCACAGGTATCCAGCTTCAACCGTCAAGCAATTTTTGTTAGCCTTGGCCTCCTTCCGTTCCTCCGTTTCTCAAAGGATCTCTGCTAGCCTGCCCCTTTTGCAAGATACAAATTCAGGAGGATCTTGCCGAATATCAACGCGAAATGGATGTGATGTTGAATCGACTAATCGATACCTTCAATATCTCACCACCTTCATACCCTCTTCAGGCAAGAATAGCGCCTCGTCACCATTATTCAGTCGTTGCATCGAAATTTCGCTTCAAAAGTGCATTTGCTTCAATCCCAGGGTTTTTCTTAGCTAATTTTGCCAAAATTTTTCCTGCAGTGCGGTTTGACACCGTTTCTCCGCCATTTTATAAAAGCGTTCAACCCGGGGGGATTTTGGTCGCGCGCGCCCTCACCCCCCGAAATTTCGGGGTTGTTTACTTATACAAAAATTCGACATTTCGAAAGTAACCCTAACTGTCTACAGATGTACGTGGTGGATAGCGTGGGCAGTGCTCGCAGCCGCCTGCCGGGAAGAGGGACGACCGTGTGGGCGACGGGCATTCGGATAATACTCGCGCTCAATGACCCCGAGGAACACGCTCAACGGCTAATCGAACAGGTATCCCTCGACTAACGTGAATTTCTGACCAGTTGAAAAGGCCGCTTCGCGCCCCTTCTCCACTGGACTCGGTCTAGGAATCACGAATTCTCTTGCCGTTTTTGAAGCCTGCGGCGCGAGAGCTTGGGTTAGGCTAGAATCTTTGGCTGCTGACTTTAGTCCTCTCCAGGGCTGTTCTTTTTGGGTCCGGGTCCCGTCCGGGTCCGGAGGCGTCCAGACCAGTCCGGTCCGGTATGCAAATTGCGGACGCGCGGACGGACGCGTCCTGCTCCGGACGAAATTAGCCCACCTATAAAAACTATATTTAATACCGTTTAAGAGGTTGGAAAGGCACTAATAACTTCATAAACCCACTTTAACGTGGTCTTTCAGCATATTCGGATTCAGAGAAGAGCTAAAAAATGCGCAATTTTAAGAATGATTAGGCAATTCTATTCGTTATAAATTTATTGCCCATGTAAGCCAACGTTATTGAGTTTACCTAAATTCTGGGCTTAAATGAAAAATTATGGAAACGAACTCTGAAGCGTCCGCCTAGGACTTATAACGCCTTACGTTAGTGACCCTACGTTACCCAATATGTTCTATTTAAATGCTCAATTAGGTTGGATTTTAGTCTCTTCTGGGAATCTAATTTGAAAGCCGGTATCCTACTATATATAAAAAAATAGTGTTTGTGTGTGTATATTTGCATGCACTTCCGTTAGGATGTTCCGTTCCTACAGCCTCGGGAAGGGTTTTTTGGATAGGGCAGAAACGACAATAGGTTTAGAATCGTACGGAATCGACTCCACACACATAAAAATTTTGAAAATTGTGGTTTTCGCTATTAAAAATAGGTTTTTGTAAAACACCGTTTGTTAGGGGAAATTAGCATACGCCGGAAGTAGGAAAAGCCGATATAAAGGGACAGAAGGTCACTTTTTTCTTTCTATAATTCAGGAAGAAACATGCAAACTAAGGACTTTCACAGGTCCTGGACGGGGCCAGGGTTGAAAAGCCGCGAAGCGGTTTTTCAACCCTGGTTATTACTAATTACGACATCACAGAACCTTTGAAAAAGCCCACTGCTTCGCAACTGCGGTGAACTCCTGAACCCATCAAGTTTAAAAATCTAAAAGTTCATAATAATACCTTTTTCTATAGAAACATTTTCAAAAATCCTGAAAAACACCTTCTACGCTTTTCTCTGACTTCGATCAGCTAGAACCACACGTTGTACAGATTTCATAAAGCTATCAGTACGTTTCCAATCATTTAAAACGATATTTAATATGTTTTTTGTATAGGTTAACCTAAATAAGGGTAGGTTGTAGGAATATCATTAGTGCGGGAAATTCGTTCCTAAAACGGCCTCCGAGGTAGTGCAGATGCGGATGTCACATCTGCGCTACCGGGGAGTGTGAAGCCTGCAGATAACGATAGGCCTTGTCGAGTGTATCAGAAAAGCCAGGGCGAGGGCGGGTGGGAAGGGGTTTGGCGAAAACGAGAGTTTGTCCCGGGTTTGTTCTACGATCCACCATTTGAGGAACCATGGCCAGCGCCTAATGCGTACGGCACCCCTCTCCATATCAACGAACCAACAGACCGGCTGCGACTTCGATGGAATTCGTCGACGATATCCCCCTTCAATACCGTCTAATCTGCTTCACGGCACAATCCGGCCCACGGCCCCCACACACGGTCCCCCGCTTTTACGCAATAAATACTATCACACTGCAGCCAGACGATTGATCCCAAAAAAATATTTATCAGGTTGGATAATAAGTTGTGTCACAATTTTTTGGAATCGTTTGTTAACGCTGCAGACGGACCCGAATTGATAGTATAATATATGGTTTGATAGGTCTCATCGAGCTCTATTTAAAGTAGACCTTCCTAGCACCCAAAACTGGAGGGACGCCGAGATAGAGCTTCAAGAAGTTTTCCGCAAAATCATGCAAAACCGCATTTGCAAGTTATCTCTGCATAGAGCAATTTGCATGCGATACCTTTAACGCGAAACGATAGCTCTAGAGGAGTAGATATCGATAGATGTTGAGATCATCCAAATCGGACATCGGATGGCCGAGATATCGCCTCTTGAAATTTGGCCCGTTTCTTAGAACTTTTCTCGAAATCCCATACATTTGATCAACCGGAGCCAAAACTGACCGCTTGATTTTTGAAAGTACCGGGAGCATTTTGACCAAATGTATGGGATTTCGAGAAAAGTTCTAAGAAACGGGCCAAATTTCAAGGGGCCATATCTCGGCCATCCTGTGTCCGATTTTGATGATTTCAACATTTATCAATATCTACTCCTTGAGAGCTATCGATTGGTGTCAAAGGTATCGCATGCAAATTGCTCTATGCAGAGATAACTTTCAAAATCCGTTTCATATGATTTTGCGAATAACTTCTCGGGCCTGTATCTCGAAGCCCATCAGTTTTTGGGTCAGTTGAGGGTCTTCCCAGGATAGAGAGCTCCGAGACCTATCGAACCATATCTCAAACTCCAAAATTGGCAACATCTTTGATTTGAACGAGCTATTTCAAAAAATTGTGACAGAACTTATCATCCAACCTGATACAAAAGAGAGAGAGAGAAAGAGAGGGAGAGAGACACAGAGAGAGAAACAGAGAGAGAGAGAGAGAGAGAGAGAGAGAGAGAGAAAGAGAGGGAGAGAGACAGAGAGAGAGAGAACCGTTCGTTGGTTTTGCTGGCTAATAGGGCCACCGGATTATCGACAACCTGCCCGCCTTCAGGTCCAATTTTCGGTGCTGGTCTGTTAGCGGGGGGGGCGAAATTGTTTTTCTACTAATTTTATCCGGCTCTATAACAAAATACAAAGAGTTTTTGTAGCATTTTACACCATTTTTAGTTCTAAAAAATTCACGAAAATTTCGGAAATTTTTGAGTTTTTGGTAAAATTTATTAAAAAACGGCCAAAAAGGCCCATGTTTTGTGAATATTTTTTAGTATTTTTTAGGAATTAATCCAAAGCGTGAATTAAAAATTAAAAAGTAATTAAAACTACTAGTCAGTACTTACCCCCCCCTTAACAGTGTAGTACCGGGGGCAGCAGGCTAGCAGGGGTCATTTGTGGAAAAATATACTCTGAAGGTTCCGGAACTGATTCCTCAAATTTCAGAAGCGCCGCAACGGGGACAGCAGCTGAACGGAAAACCCGAAATGCCGACACCCAGAATCCCGACAATTATTTGCGAAAATGCCGAATCAAAAAAATCGGATTTTCGGGCGATTCGGTTGTGGTTTTCGGCTGATCTTCATATTTTCCTATCCCCCCCCGTTATTTCATTGTGATATTAAAAGCAGAACTTTTCCTGAACCGGAAAACTTTTATTCCAGAAATCGACCATTAAAGATTGTTGATATTTTGCATCTTTTAGCTTAATAAATTTGGAGCGCAACAAGGCTGCCGTACAGAAGAAGAAGACATGATAATACAGGAATACAAACTACAAACTGTCGACCAGACGACCCGAGTTCGACCCCCGCCCGCGACATACTTTTTGCTTTTTGGAATTTCGGTTTGGATTGTGATGGGTATGGTTAAACTGGGAGAGAGAGAGAGAGATAGAGACAGACAGACAGACGGACAGACAGACAGACAGTCACTCTTCCTCCTTGCCTCCCGTTATCAGATCTTCTCCACACCGCTCGATCTCCCCCCACTTCACGATGAGAAAGAGCGCGGAGAATATTGGCAAAATGACAATCAGTCTCTCTTTCTCTCTCTCTCTCTCTCTCTCTCTCTCTCTCTCTCTCCCTTTCTCTCCTCCTGATCGATCCACTCCATTCCATCACTTCCCCCTCTCCCCACCCAAATCAACGCCTTTTTTACGGTTCCAATCCCCCCCCCTCGCACGATTATTTTCTGGCCTGGCAGCCGTCGTTTTCTTCAAACAATCTCTGCTAGCCTGCCCCGCAGTTTTAAAGGGGCTCACATTATCTGACACCCTGCCTCCCAACTCGTCAAGATAACAGAGACCAGTTGTTCTCAATTGCCCGATGGTTCCGCAGAGTTTCTCGGCTATCTTGCTAGGGTAATCCGCCAATTTCAGGCCTCTTCAGGACCCCGTTTCCGGGAAGGGATGTCCGCAGGATGAGGCAGCTCTATTTCTTGCTAATTTTGACGGCAGGTTGGTTTAAACTGAGCTCTCTCTGTCTCTCTCTCTCTCTCTCTCACTCTCTCTCTCTCTGTATCTCTGTCTCTCTGCCTCTCTCTGTCTCTCTGTCTCTCTGTCTCTCTGTCTCTCTCTCACTCTCTCACTCTCTCTCTCTGTCTCTCTCTGCCTCTCTCTCTCTCTCTCTGCCTCTCTCTGTCTCTCTGTCTCTCACTGTCTCTCTCTCTCCCTCTCTCCCTCTCTCCCTCTCTCTCTCTCTCTCTCTCTCTCTCTCTCTCTCTCTCTCTCTCCATCCGTATACTTTAGCCTCAACCTCTCCCCTCCCCCAAAAAGCCCAACCCGTGAAGATGCCGTGCAATGGGAACGCTTCCGGTGAGTTCAATTTTTGCCTCAAAAGTCCCCAATGATCTCCGCTAGCCTGCCCCTGGCTGTCAGATTAGCTAATCTGACTGTCAGCTAGATGGATGGGCCAAGAATTTACGCTTGTTTCCCCAATGGATCCCTGCTAGCTTGCCCAGTTCGTGCCAGAAAAAAATTCTAGGGCTTGGACGAGATGTCACGATCCCTTTAGAAACGAGGGGCAGGCTAGCAGAGATTGTTTGAGGAAATGGAAAGAAGGGGGCAGGCTAGCAGAGATTCTTTAGCAAAAGCCATCCGATTACGTGATGAAATTGGGTGCCTTCCAGATTGCGTGGTGCACGTGTTCCGGATCAAATTGACGGAAAACATCAACGGGAGCACGAGGGAATACCCGGTGGATCTGCCGATGAAGCGGAGGAGCAAGTCGGTTTTTGCCGCAAAGAATCCCTGCTAGCCTGCCCAGGTTGCAGTTTTTGGTTTTGTTGCAGATACGGCAAAAATGTGTACGCGCCGGTGGGAAATCTGGAGTCTCATCAGCTGGCCGAGAAGATTATCGAGAAAATGCCGAACACCATCAATAAAGATGTGAAGGTAGTGGGAGGGGCAAATGGTCTCTGCTAGCCTGCCCCTAGATGCAGGATTTCCCCAAAAAACCTTTGCTAGGCTCGGCTGGCTGTTTTTCTCGGCTAACCCCCCAGCCGCAACTTTTCAGCGATACGTCCTATTAATGCGTCGAGTATCTCAAAACCAGTGGAAAAAGACCGCTTCGCGGCGATTTTCCACTGGACCCCGTCCAGGAATCATGAATTTGCATAATTCTTTTTTTGCCTGCGGCGCAAGAACCTGAGTCAAGGAGGCATTTTTTGGCCTGCGGCGCCAGAGCCAGCGTTGCGCTAGAATCTTTGAGCCTGCGGCGCTAGTTACTGGTTTTTCTCGATACTCTGGCCTGCGGCGCGAGAGCCTGGGTTAAAGACTGCTAGAACCCTTGAACGCACACTGTCACCTCGAGGGTGCGCCTCCCAAGAACGCGCAGAGAGAGGCGTCATTAGTGGCGCCCCATATCGGGCAACGGCCCACTGGGGTTTGGGGCGCATCTGACTTCCTTCTCCACTCGGCCCTGTGGTATAGTGGCTAGCGCGTCGGACTTTGGAGCGAACCATCGCGGGTTCGACCCCCGCCCGGTGCCCAATTTCTTGCATTTAACGAAGCTTTGATCGTTCTGACCGTCTTTAGGGGCCCGTCCTTGGCCTTCGGTGCTAGAGCGTAATCAAAGACCTTTTGCTCGGGCCTGCGGCGCTACAGCGAGGGCCAGGCCTAAACCTCGCACACCGAGAGTCTAGAAATTTGATTTGTTGCTGAACCACCAAAAAGCAAAAAATTAAATTCGCCCAGGATCCGAACTCGCGACCTTGCGCGTGGTAGACCGGGCGCTAACCCATTACACCACGGGGCACACGGGGAAGAGGATCCGGCAAATTTTGACAAAAAAGCAAAAAAACTTTGCGGACCGGGGAACCGAACCAGAGACCATTCGCTCAAGAGGCAATTTACTTAGCCACTACACCACTCGACAGGCGAACACCCTGGTTTGGGGGAGGCACGTAAGGGATTACGGACCTGGTTTCGCAAATTTTTCGTGTTGCTCAATTTCCAAAGAATCTTTGCTAGCCTGCCCAACAAAATTTCCGCAAATTCCCTCCGCTAGATTGCCAATTTAATGAGCGCTAATTTCCGATTTTATTGGATTCAGGAACGTGTCCGAAAAGAGGAATTCCTGATCTCGCCAGTTGACGATCGAGAAGACCCTCATGCTCCTCCACCAGAAGAGATTGGAGCCGGAGGAGAGATTGAGGAGACGCAGAGGAGACACACAGAACGAACCACAACTAATGACAACGCCCACGGAATCGCCCATACTATTGATGGCACGTTGAAATTTTCACGTTTAAGAGTCTTAGTTGCTTTAAAAACGGAGTTTTGGCGTTATAATAGATTTTCCGCAAAGAATTCGTGCTAGCTGGCTTTCGAAGACTCCGATAACGTGAAGAAACATTTAGAAATTGAAATTCCGAATTATAAAGACTATATATAATTTGGTCGCGTATCTTTGTGTGTGTGTGTGTGTGCGGATGTCACTTTCGAGGCTCGATTTTAGGGCCTTCCCGTGTATAAAAGCTCTAATTTTCCGTCACTTGGGGTAACCAACCCTCCTGTTTCGGATGGCGTTCTCAGAATTACGATAAAATACAAGTTTACAAAGTTAAAGCCGGTTTTATTCATTTTGGGGGTACCTGAGGGCTAATTTGCTTAATGCGAAAAAATACAAATTTCCTCATTCTTGCGAATTGCACGCGCGCGTGTGGTCTGGGGGGGGGGGTCCGAAGGACCAGAGCTATCGGAAAGGCGAATTTCTCATGCAAAGACAGCATTCCAGCGCCCAAGGCCCGCGAAGCGGGTTTTGGGCGCTGGTAAAGACTATAATTTACGCATTTTTAGAAGCGTTCCCTCTAATTCTGCTTCTGCTGTTGGTGGCGATTGGTGTAGTAGTGGGGATACTGTGCACATGTCTCGGTCTATTCCTCATCGACTACAGAAGGAAACCACATTTTGACCGGTCGGTTGTACTTTGTAGCCCGCAATTGGTTACGGCGTGAAAATCGGGTCAAAAAAGTGCTAAAAATAGCTGCACTGTCTGCCAGCGCCGCCATTCATGCAAAAATACGCCAAAATTCCATATGGGTATTCAATTACGCCATATAAATCGCCAACTAGGATAATCGATTACGATATAAAATTCCATGCAAAAAATATTAAGAATCGCCGGTCGATTACAACATGCAATTGTGCGCAAAAAGTGCTAAAAATAGCTGCACTGTCTGCCAGCGCAGCCATTCATGCAAAAATACGCCAAAATTCCCGACGGATATTCGATTACGCTATCAAAATTTCCCGCTCGGCTAATCGCTCACGCCACCTAATTCGCTGATTCGATTACGGCATGAAATTGTGCGCAAAAAGTGTTAAGAATCGCTATACTGTCTGCAAGCGCCGCCATTTATGTAAAAAACACGCCAAAATTCGCTACGGCTATTCAGTTACGCCATATAATTCGCCAACTAGGATAATCGATTACCACATGAAAAGGCCAATTTTCGACCCAATTTTTTTCGCAAAAGGATGAGGAATCGCTATACTCTCTCCCATAAGAGTAATTTAGACAAAAAAAATATCGAAATATCGCGTGGTTTTTCGATTACGCCACCTAAAACAGAGGCCCAAGCGATTACGACATGCATTTCCACAGCGCTACAATTTACAACCCCCATTCTGTTCAGATCCGTGGCCATCTCGTATAAGCGTCATCCATCGGGCCGTCAAGCACTTCTCGAGCCCCAGGGCCGAACTACCGTAATCCACAAAACGTCCGGTAAGTTGAGGGGTGGAAAGAGGTGTCTTTTGGAACGTTTCAGATTTCGTTTTTTTCTAACTTTAGTGGCTTAAAAATGGGTTTTCAGTGGGTTACGGTAGCTGAAACTTTAGTAGCTGATAGAACTCGACTTTCTCTTTCCGCTACAGTACCATCAGGTGTCAACAGGAATGCGCCGGAAAAAATTGCCAAAATCCAAATTTTTGGCCACTTTGAGGCTTCATAAAATGATATTCAAGCGGGCTACAGTAGTCAAAGATTTGAGAACTGATAGAGCTCAAGCTCCTCTAATAATGCTACGTCAAACTCTGCGACAGTACGCCCATACGCCAAGAGGAAACGGGCGGAAAATGGAAAAATTTCACGTTTAGCGAAATAGATGCAAAAATTTATTTAGATCTTAATTGAACCCAGTTCTAAGATTAAATGACCAATTGGCTGTCAGTTAGCCAAAATCCAAAACCAATTACGCGATGTAATGTTGTAGTGACGCGTAGCAGTCGCCCTCCGCCATCCCATCGACCACCCAGGGCATCACGGCCTACGCAACGATACGTGAGGACAGATGTGTCGAGGTGGGTTATTTTAAAGGAACCGTGACAGGTGGGTGACAACTAGTCGAATTCCGCAAAGATTTCTGCCGGTTTGCCCTAATTATTGGATTTTCAGCGACTGGAATGGGCATTCGTCTCGAGAATCGTCTCGGCATTTCACGCAGGGCCCTCGCCAATCCCCCCGCCCGCCACGACATCGCAAACGATCTTTTTAGCAGGCCACGCCCACTTTTTAAAGGGCCGTTGAAGTCTCGATTTTCTTGATTGTAGCTCTTATTTGTCTTTTTTGTGTGGTTTTTTTGGTTTCTACTGGAACTCGGTGCTCATCCCCCCAAAATAACGCCCCCCGTGATCTCAGGTGATTATGAGAACTTTGATAAAGTATTTATTTGCGATGATGGAATGAGAGAGAGCGAGAGAGAGAGACAGATAGAGAGTGAGAGAGAGTGAGAGAGAGAGAGAAAGAGTGAGAGAGTGAGAGATGAGAGAGCAAGAGAGAGACTGAGAGAGAGAGTGAGAGAGTAGGGACTTGTATTCTATAGTCTGGCTTCCAGTTAAGCAAGTTCGACGAAAATTCAAGGAAAATTCCAAAAAGCAGAAAGTTTGGCGCGGCCTGGGACCGAACCCGGGCCATCTGACCAGTGATCGTCTTGTCTAACAGACCATTTGTTTCACTGTCGGTCTGTCTGTCAGTTTGTCCGTCCGTCTGTCCGTCTGTCTGTCCGCCATGCTAAATGATAAATGATTGATGTGTTTCGTGGTGCTCCTTTTCCGCTGGTGCTCCCCTTCTCTCTCCAGCGATGGCTCCAATTGATTCTCCTCCGCGCAATCACCCCTTCATAATTTCCACACCGCTAATTAAGCATTGCTTCATCTATTTTATTCGCCTAAAATTTATGAAAATTCATGGAGCTTTTAGATGGGAAAATTTGGAGTTTTCTGGCGCGCCAACCCAATCGATTACGCCATCTAAAAATTGTCGATTTTATAGTATTGCTAATATTTCGAGTTTTTATAATTTTCGGACCGGTTTTCCTTGATTTCCTAGAGGCCAGCGTCGGCCAAAATTTGCTAGTGTGGCCAATTGGTTTGTGTCCCCGCCTACCACCCACACGACCCGAGTTCGACCCCCGGCCGCGGCAAACTTTTTGCTTTTTCGGATTTTGGCCTGGAGTTAGATGGGAATCATTAAACTGATCGTCAGACTACAGACTACAAGCTACAAACTACAATTCTCCAGTTTGGTGGCTCGGATTCGATTCCTGGCAGCGAAAAGGGCGAGTTGTAGCGGATACCTCTTGTTTCCCCCTGGATTTTGATCGAAATGGCTAAACTGGCAGCCAGACTACAGGCTACAAACTACAACTTTCCAACCGCGTGGCCCGGGTTCGATTCCCGACCGGTACCAGTCTTTTGCTCTTTGCTTTTTTCGGGTGTTTTGCCATGAAATTGGCAGCTTTTTTTGGCGGGTTGGTCGGTTGGTGTTGCGCCGTCGTTGATCCCTTCTTTCGCCTTTTTTCCGTTTGACAACTCATCGTAAAGCCCTGGTTTTATAGTATCGACGGGAGAGCGAGAGAGAGAGAGAGAGGGACAGAGAGAGAGAGAGAGAGAGGGAGAGAAAGGATAGAAAATGACATCAACCATTTTGTCCCCCCGATCCCAATCCATCCCTTCCCCTCCCCTCTTTCCTTTCTCCCGTCACGCACCGTTTCCGCTCCCCCGGAAAGCCGGGGGGATTTTCCACAGGTTGCACCCCCACACCCCTAGAGAGATCTATGCCCCCTCTATCTCGACAGTTTTTAGGTTTTATTTAACTGGAATCACCAAACTGGCATCCAGCCTACAGACTACAAACCATCATTTTAACTACAAACTATAAAATACTCGGGCCCGACTCCCGACCCGACAAACTTTTTGCTTTTTGCGTTTTTCGACGTTTGTACCCAGATTTTAATGAAAATAGTCGAACACAGGCTAAAAACTGTAGTTTGCTGCCTAACGACCTGGAATTTACAGAAATTAGCCTTGCAGGCGCCTTTAAAGACCTGAAAATTTTTCGCGTCGCGTCTCTCTCTCTCGCTCTCTCTCTTCCTGTCTCTCTCTCCCTTTCACTCTCTCTCTCTCTCTCTCTCTCTCTCTCAATACCCTCTCTCCAGCCAATGCTCTCTCCCGTCAGATGACGATAAAACCCCAAGATGACGATCCGGACGAGGGTCCGGCATTCAGGAATATTTCGTTAGAAGAAAGAGGTCCGTTTGGTAGGCTAGCAGAAGCGATTTATGGAATTCTTTGTTGAGGCAGGCTAGCAGAGTCCATTTCGTATTTTTCAGAAACCCGCGACTCGTCGGATTCTCGAGGTGTGAATCGTCTGTTCTCGCGTCGTCGCCGTCGTGTACGCCACGATACAGCTGACGCGACAGAGGCCAGAAATGCCGTCATTTCGTCGTTTGTCGAGCATCACCTCACTATAACGCAGTTGCAGGTTAGTTTCTGAGCAACACCTTTCCCCAAAGAATCTCTGTTAGTTTGCCGCGAATTTTCTCAAAGAATCTCCGCTAGCCTGCCCGAATTTCCTCAAAGAATCGCTGCTAGCTCGCCCTCTCACCGCCATTTTTTCAGGATGTCTACCCCGACTCTTTCATCTATGCCCCCGACCCGTCAAGATCAGATGGGCTATCGGCAGAGGAGGCAAAGTACGGTAGCTTTCGAGGTGTCACGCTCCCTTTAAAAAGAGGAAAACGGCTTTTAAAAGCACCGTATTTCGCGATACCGTAACTAGTAATGGGCCGTAGTCTGTAACTCACCTTCAGAAAACGCCTCCAAGATGGCGGGCCGAACGTCATCGAGCCGCCGGCCGAAAAGAGTCTCATCCGATCGTTCGCCTCGCAATTTCACTTCAAATTCTGGGTCCTCCTCACCGGTAATTCCATGTCGTAATCGATTTTGAATCAATTATGCAGGATATTTCGTGAAATCGTGTTTTCAGGCGCGTCAATGCTGTCGGTGATCACGTACTTTGTGCATTTGGCCCACGGCTTCAATGAGCCCCTCAATCTCTATTGTGCTGCCATACTCCTTGGTGTTGTCTTTTTTATGTGTCTACTTTCCATACATCAAGAGAGGAAGACGAGGATGGTACGGTAGGCGAGAGAGAGAGAGAGAGAGGGAGAAAGGAAGCGAGAGAGAGACACACATGAGAGAGACAGTGAGAGGGACAGAGAGAGATACGGAGAGAGAGAGATAGAGATGAGAGAGAGAGGAGAGAAGATAGGGAGAGTGTGAGAGAAAGCGAGAGAGAGACAGAGAGAGAGAGAGAGAGAGAGAGAGAGAGAGAGAGAGAGAGAGAGCTAGAGAGAGGAGAGAGGGAGAGAGTGTGAGTGTGAGAGCGAGAGAGAGCGAGAGTGAGAGAGAGAAAAAAAAAGATAGAGAGAGAGAGAGAGAGAGAGAGGAAGACGAGACAAACTACGATTTTCAGGTCCAACAAAACTTCAAGAAGCTTCTCCCCATCACCGCCATTGTCATCCGGGATTGTGAGGAGAAAGAAATCGACCTTGCTGAAGTCGTCGTCGGGGATATTGTCGTTATTAGGTACGGTAATCCTAAGCTGGCATCCACACTGGCGATTTATGGGGGTTTTGACTTAGGAATGGCTAAACTGGCATCCAGACTACAGACTACAAACTACAACTCACCTTCCAGGCAGGGTTTCCGTATCCCGGCCGACGTTCGCATTCTCCAGGCTCACTGCATGAAGATCGAGTCTTCCGAAGTGACAGGTAAATTTTTGTAGTTTGTAGTCTAGCCTTTTGTAGCGTTCATTTCGCATTCTGACGTTTCTAAAGGGAATTTGGTTTGTCATTTTTAGTTTGTTTTTCTAGGCGACAATTTTTGTAGCTCGTAGTCCAGTTTGAGGTTCGTCAGTGAACATTTTGTACTTTGTAGCCTACCGTACCCTATTCAGGCCACCGGAAACCAGCCGAATACGCTGCCAGCGAAGTGGCCTCCCACATTTCGGCCTTTGACGCGAAGAATATCGCTTTTAAGGTAAGGCGGCAGGCAAGCAGGGATCATTTGCGGAATCGCGCCGGCCTTTTAAAGGGCCACGCAAGGCATGGATTGCTATATATTCTGCCGCTGCGAGACGCGCAACGCGCACGCCGCCTTTAGGCTGCGGAATCTATTTCCATAGCCTTTCCCATCCCTTTAAAATCGTCTAAACGCCGTCGGGCAGGGCGCATTTGCGGAATTTGCAATGTCAACCTCCCTTTAAACTGTAATTTATCATTTTTGCCCCTTTTTCAGGGTTCGTACTGTACGGAGGGTGACGGAATGGGCGTAGCCATTCGTACTGGGAAGTTTACAGTACTCGGGGAGATTGCTGAAATGCACACACAGCCTGCGATTGAGACGAAACTGCAAAAGGAGCTACGGTAGGCTGACTGCAAACTACAATTTTTCGAAGACAATTAAAACTGGATTTTCTGGACTACAGACTACAAAATTTAGCAAAATAGAACTTGTACTTTGTAGTTTGCCGTTTTTTTGTAGTTTAGAGTTTTCTGGGCTACAGACTACACCTTTTGATCAAGTTCGAGTTGTAGTTTGTAGTCTGACCAAAACTATGGATTTTCTAGCTGTTCCTCGCAACAAAAAATCATTTTTGAGGAATTTTTCGGAATTTGTGGTTTGTAGTTTGTAGCGTAGACCCGAAAATGTGTATATTTAGAGGTTTCGCCAATTTCGTGACGATGCTGGCGATCTGCATGGCTTCAGCGACGTTTATTCTTGGGTGCATCGTGGCAAAGTTGGTCTTTTTTTTCTCTGCGTATCGCTCTCTCTTCTCTCTCTCTCTCTCTCTCTCTCTCTCTCTCTCTCTCTCTCTCTCTCTCTCTCTGTCTCTCTCCTCTATCTCTCGCACTCTCTATCTCTCTCTCTTCTCTCTCTCTCACTCTCTCTTGCTCTCTCTGCACCCAGCAGAGACCATTTGAGCTCCGGTCTCCTCAAGAATCTCTGCTAGCTTGCCCAATCTAGCCCGTGGCAACTAGCAGAGATCATTGGGGAACCGATTTCCAGCCAGTTTACTCAATTTCGATCCCAAAAAACCTTTGCTAGCTTGCCATCCCTAAAAACCAGCTCTCCCTTTAGGTTCGAGAACGTGCTCGACCACTTCGTCACTGGTTTTCTGGTCATAATCGTTGCCAATGTTCCTCAG